CGATGACTCAAAAGTCTCGCTCGGTACCGATGGTGTCGAATCCGAGGCTCCCGACTCCGGATCTTCTGATGAGTCAATGGTTGTGGTGAGTGGGAGCCCCACTCCTTCGGGTAGCTCCTCTTCTGGAAACACTCGAGGAGCGCTCACTGATAATGACACTTACTCTCCGCCAAAGGGGTCAAAGATTGCTGCCATGGAAGCTCACGATATCACTCACAGTTTTCTTTCCAAGAACGGCGACGAAGGAGTCCCGTGTAAAGTCTTCGAGCCGGGACCTAGAGGAGCCTGGCGCTGGTACGAAGCCGTCCTGTTCCGTGCGGAAAAAGAGGAAGACCTGCGCGCTCTCGAGAGTTCCGGATGTGGGCCAGTGAGGCCCCGCCGACGAACCCGAGAGCATCGGTATTTCATGCACTATCCACAAAGCAACCAGCGCACTGATGGAACACTCGATCTTGCCCGCGTCCGACAACTTTTTGCCGAAGGAAACTTGCTATTTTTCGAGGGTTAGGTCTGACTGCAGCTTTCGATGTAATAGCTTATGGAATTGCAATGAATGTCTTATGTTTGTCATTGTTATGGACTAACGCGAGTAGTGGGGTGCTTGTAGGTACAACTCACGATGAATGACCTACTGGTCCACTGCTTGTACTCGATGCTCATGTTGGTGTTCTGAGGGAAGTTAATTCAGTTATATCCAATGCCTGTTTGAATGCGTCTCATCGAATGAGGCTAATGTTGTGTTATGCTATGTTATGTTCTACTGCTGGGACAGAATTGTTGGACCATGTCATACGTACTCGTGCCCAGCAGGGACTTTAACCCCTATCCATACTTCTACCGTATTGTCAAGACTGGTAAGAATGGTAATGATAAGGAAACTTCCATTGCCAATTATGTGGCTCGTCATATGCGAGCAAAACTCGTGCCACCTCTCCAACCACTTAGTTCTCCATCATCGCAGTAAAATTAGGCTCCCGGCAAAATATGACGGGGTGGACTTTAAGGCGAAGTCTTCATCCAAGAGAAGGAGCAGCACATGTGGGAGACGATCTACAAGCCCAAGGTCCGCAGAATTGAGGCGCACTCCCGTTGCCAAACGTCACCGGCAGAGTACTTCCTCAACGGCTGCGACCATACCCTTGCTTCCTCACCGCCATGTGGAGAGCCCACTCAAGTCCGCGACGGGTCTAGCTGACGAGTCATCGGAGGAGGTCATATCGAGATCAACTACTCTGACCCCAAAGCAGTGTTCTCGAGCGCGGAGCCCTGGCCGAGTATGTCCCTCCGATATCTCCGAAGGATTGCAACGGTCTAAGCAGATGCGGCTCTCGTGTTATTTCCCGCCGGTTCCTTCGGCCTATGCGGTGAAGGCCTTTCAGCAGAAGATGGTTAAGGTCTTCCTGGCAAAAAAAACTGATCCTACTATTCTGTGTGATGCAGGCTTTAGGAAAGCCATGGACGCAATCGTTCCATCATATAGTACTATAAAAGATACTGCTTGGGAGCCTAATGAAATATCTCTCATCGCCGAATCTGTACGCTGTGATACTCAGAACGCGGGGATTCACAAGCTCTTGGTTGAAATCAAGCTCAGCCCATACAAGGTGGTTTCCCTAGTGCTGAACGCATGGCCACGTCGTAGTCAAGATGATGGTAGTCATGAGCTTATCACAATATCTGCAGCCCACGCAAGTATGATTAGCGAGGGAGAACCTATCTTGAAGCCTACTCCGATAGCCGCGATGCCTATGAAAGGGATGACTGATGAACAGTTGGTGAAAAATATTCTGAGGGACGTATGTCGCTCATTGCTATCGAGTAAGTCCAGCTAATAGTGGCTAGCTCGAGTTGATTCCTCTCTTTCAGACGGGATCGAAATTATCTTCGTAGTCGGGAACGAGAAGGTCGCTGGTGTTCGGGACCGACTTTCTGAGGAACTGAACGTTGGGACTCTACAACCGGGCTCTACGACCGCGAATGTGAAGAATGCAGAGTTCAAGTGTATGCCGCTGCCCTGCTTAGTGGAAATGAATGACTCGCTTATGGAAGAGTTGATGGACAACCAATTCAGTTCATGGGTTGAGGCTCATCGTCGCATGCAAGCTTTCGTCAAAGCAGTGAAAATCGTAGCGCCAGAGCTGGTGCAGCCTTCGATCGGACGTCTCCTGGCCGATGAAACCAAAGACTGTAGATCGCCTTCAACGTTTGTCGACTGGCTTGATGAAGTTTCTGACAAATGGGAAGATGTAAAAAACTTTTTGAGCGATGCTGGAGCTCTGGCAGTATGGCGCAGGTAAGCGAACAGTATTGCCTTCTCCAAAAGCGACAACTCCCGACTTAGGCTCGACGGCGAAAACAGAAGTCTCCATGATGCCTTAAGTAAATTCTTCTTCTCCGCAGACAATAACCTCCAAGTCATCGAAAGCTGCGAGCCTCTGAAGATTCTACGGGATGTCGGAAACCGGACTCTCCAGCATTCGTTCTTCGTATCCTTGTCCGATATTGATGAAGCGTATCGGAAGGTGGCGAAAGTGGCCACTCTCGAAGAGTCATCGAAAGTCTTAGTACTAGCTAAGTGGGCTCCGAGTATGTCAACTGCATCTACTTAACGACCTACCGTTCCTCAGACTGAGCGAAGTGCTGGAGGGGAAGGCCTTTCTACTACGATACCACAAACATAAAGCTACTGCTGGCATACACCTCAATGCCGTGGCTATGTTCGAAAAGACTCTTGAAGAGGCTGTGTTGTTCAACATTAAGTATCCCAGCTTGAAACTCAACCTCGACGGGGCCAGAGACACTCTTGCCCATTATTTTAAAAATGGAGGTAGCGTTTTGGGACAACCGTCAGTGCCGCTCCGAACGCAGTTTTCAGGGTGTCATTCGAGGTCAAAGAATATGCAAGATTACATGTTGAGGATGACTGGCCTGGAGTACTGGGACCTCCACAGCGGCTGCGATGATGTCGCTAAATTCATTTACGCTACGCACGCTGGAATAGCAAACGTTCGGAGCGCATATGCTCAACTTGCCGCGCTTGACAGGTAATGTAAATAGTACGGTTGTCGTAAAGGCCCTTTCGCACAACCGTGTTCTTTAGTAAGGGTCCTTTACTAAGGGGGTACTGTCGGTTATTAGTCGAAACTTCAAACTGCTACGCACTTGCAGTTCGTGTCACAACTTGTGAGGCACAAATTTTGGGATTGATGTTGCGCCATTGTGATCTTGGAAGTCGTCTTTAAGCCGGATCACGTCTCACGTGACGTGATTCACAACGTGAATTTCACGTTCAAAGCGTGTTAGATATCTACGAAGTTTGAGGTTTAAAAGGGAAGGTTTCTCCGGGAGACCATGAATCCAGCATCTTACGTGTCATCTATGCTCAGTGCACCGGACATGGAGACTTTTACTACTATCATGATATCTCACGCAGAGAAGGATCAATCTATGGTAATACTCTCAAGAATTGCAACCAGACATCTTTCTACGGTGTAACACCATCGGTGTTTGTGGGCAATTAGTGAGTGCTAGATCTCGGCAGATACACTCGAATGATACCCATGATACCAGTCACTCGTGCATCGACCTAGAAGATTGAAGATGCGATATTTCCCCTTATGCTTCGAGACAAGCCTTCACTCTGTTGCAGTGTGGGCCGCACTGTCGAGCAGTTGCACTAGTGTTCTTCAGTTAATTTGCAATGCATGATCCAGTTAATTGAGCCTACCTTTTTAGCACCAATGAGCCCTGTTGAGTTAACACTTTAGCAAATGACAGCCTGTCATTCACGCTTTGAATTTCACAGGTAGCTGTTGCTCATAGCCATGGACCATGCCAACATGGTCACCATGGCACATGGTTGCCGAAATCTCTGAGTTGAAATCTGTAAGTGAGAGTCGTTTTAACTACAAGCTAATTAAAACTTAATTATTAAGTGAACTAAGGTGCCCTTTAATTCCCTTGAGGGCTTCAAGGGACTTTAGTCAAGACGCGGCTTTGATGTAGCGCTCGTTGGTTTCCTGTATCAGTCGAATATAGCGAAGGGACAACATCTGCTAGTTGGAGACTGCGACTCGCAGTGCCACTTGGCCCCTCTAACGGGGTCCCCGTAACACGGGTTTTTCTTGTCCTTTGTGTGCACACTCGAAGGTTCGATTCGAAACCATATTACTAACCAGGTCCGGCGCTCTGAACTGATGCCTCACTGTATATATGGGGATACTTAAGCTTTAGGGAAAGATGAAGACGTGTTTGCCCTTCATTTATGACCCAAAAATGGAGTTTTTAGGGTAAAATTTCCGAAATTTCCGCTAAAAGTGGAAATTTCGCCAAGCGCGGAAATTTGAAAATTTCCGCGGAAATATTTCCGCGGAAATTTATGGAAATGGTGGAAATGGGGAACCCTGGATTCAATGCAGGTACCAACAACGCCTGTTATGTTAGGTCAATACGATCCTGAGCTATCTTTCGCCGAAAACACCACCTTAGGGAAGCCTCTCATTTCTCAATTTGATCTTCTGTGTGTCATGCGTGATGTGTCCGATAGAGAGAGGGACACAAAGCTGGCGAAGTTTGTGCTTAAAAATCACAGGCTTCGGATCTCGAGTGAGGATAACCGAGTTATGAATAACCAACAGGATCAGGCTGATTTTGAACGGATCGACCAAACTCTTCTATGGAAATATATTTCCTATGCGAGGTGAGGCCTGAATTCTGGGGGACGGCTCTATTAGAGCCGTTAGAGCCGCTCTATGGAAGACGAAGTCTAGGCTATGGTGAGATTTGTTTTTAGGGAACATGTTGAACCTGTTTTGGACAAGGATGATAAATATGATAAAATCACCAGGTTTTCCGCCGATATACGGGCGAGCAACCGTTGTGGTGAAGAATGCTGCGTAAGAAGAATAACATTCTTAGTTGAGTCTTAAAACAGTGTAACCTTTAATCCCAGCTCCGGTGTGTGTCTTCGATTACCGAGATGGCTAAAGCGAATGCCAAAATGGAATTACGGGATACTGTGACTGAGGCGGACGTCGATAATTCGATTGCATTGTTCCTGGTAGTCGCGTGCCGCGCATGCTCCATCCAGACTGGATGATGATCGAGTGTGCTCTCAGGAAGCGTTCATCTCTACAGTTCCCATGTCTCGAGGACCGGCATTGAGACGAAAATTTGAGGCATATACTCGAAATGCGAGACAACGAGTGCTTTGAGTGAACGTACATGTTAAGAACACATATACATGTTTCCAATTTGGTGAAGATTATAGTTGGGTTTGTAAATACATATCATTGTTCCCATGCCGTC